CACTATACAACTTGAAGCACCGAGTAATTTAGTGTTAGGGGAAATTCTGTGAAGTCATTTCTGCAATAACCAGGCACAGTGGGTGAACTTCACCTCTCCCTCCTTTACCCCTTATTCCCTCTTCTCCCATTCAATCCACCTGATTAATTGCTAAAAATTATATACATACAGCAGGACTGTTGCATTACATTCTCTTTTTTCTTCTGATTTGTTATAGAAAATGTGTCAGTCACTTGTGGTTAAAACTTACAATTTTATTAGATAATATTACACAGGAAATTTACAGTTCAGACTTACTCAATTCCAGTGACTAAAATTTAGAAACTATACCTATCATAGCATGCAGAAAATGTAATTCTGTGCTTTCCGAGTCATTCTGTTCAGGCCCACCAATTTAATTTTCCATTTGACAACCAGAGTCACAAAGCTTATTTTTGGTCTACAGGGTCACCTGTTGGAAGCATTCAAAAAGCATTCAAGCTCACTCGTACTCCCACATAGATAAACAATTGCCCACTGCATGTGTGCTAATTAAGTATATCATAATGAAAAATATCATTCTCCATGTCCAGCTAGTCTTTCTGAAGTAAATGAAATAAATCAACAAAAGAATAGACACATTCAGGATGAAATAGATTTATTAGTCCAAGCCTGCCAGTGCAGGATTTCCTTTATCATCCAGTTACTGCATTTTTTAAAAAACCATCTCCTGAAATGAGGTTCCATTATTTCTGAGGAGACTTCCAGATTACTACAGAACTAGACATTTTTTTCTAACACTTAGCCTATAGTTTTCCCACTTATTTTGATACTTTTACCCCAACTAACCAACCTTCACATGGTGAGATCTATTTCCTCGCTGCAGCGTTCCAAAACTGAGCCTATCTTCTCCCCATACAAATCACTCACTGGGCAGGTGATGTGAATGCTCCTTTTATTGATCTTTGGGCTGCTCCAAACACTATGCCACTGCATAATCTGCTGGTGTACTTGCAACTAAATTAGTGCACGCAAACTTCATTGCCCTTTTCATAAAAATCACATTGTTTACTTTGAAGATGTACAGAGGCAGTCAAAAAGGATGAGTAGAGGTATGGCACCAGTAGCCTGCCCTCCAAATAAGGCGGCACTAGTAGAGAGGGAGAGTTAGGTAAACAGGTATTAGAGACGAGGTATTAGACATGAAAGAGATGTAGAAAAATGTTACCAGAGAAGCGGAAAAGGGAGCAGTTATTTTCTCACTATACAAGGAAAACCTTACCCAACTGACTTTAAACTGAAGGCTTAAACACAGCAAGAGGATATGTTTTTCACACAAGACATTATTTATTCATTAACATAAAAACTTACAGACACTAAAAATATAAATGAGTCAAAAAAATAGACAAATTAACAGGTGACACGTCTCTCATTCCTATTATACATAGTTTTTCTTACAAGATATATCTTAAGTCTTAGGAAGTCAACAGTTGATTGGCAGACAATGAAAGGTATACCAAGTAAAACACTGCTTTATGCAGTTTCTTCTACTTTTCTTTAAGAATCTGCAATAGCCACTGTCAGAGAAAGAATACTAAGGCAGGTAAAGCTCTGATCTGATGTACTATAGCTGTTTGATGGGGAACAACTGGAAATGATGCATTATCTTTTTTGACTAGGGAATAGCATGGAGACTGTTAGGAAACATTAGGTTCAGCATGCAGTTCCAGCCAGTTGTTTTTTTCTAATGAAAACAAATTAAAATACAGTAATTCTAAGTGAGGAGATGCTATAAAGATGCAGTTTGACCAAAAAGGCATGAAGACAACAATGAAATATTAGAATAAGATTAAATAGACAGGACCACTATGATGCTAGTGCTAACAAAGATGTAATAACAAACAGTCTACAGCAGATGATATGTACCATATTTAGTTAACTAACATACGTATTAGCTAAGGGGGACAAAAAAAAAAAATATGTATGAAAGTGGCTTTTTCAACGCCCTGACACATCTTACCTTACTTATGCAAACCCACTCCCTCCAAAATACTGAACATGTGCAAAAGTCTTTGCTAGAGGAGGTGATAAGTTTTAGAGCTGTTATCCTAAAGTAAACCGCAAAGACCAGAATTCCTCAAGGCAAGCTATACAACTTGCTTTTGAGAAATCATTTCTCCACACACGCACAATAATGAGGACAAGGATGGTCACAGCAAAAATGGTCCTGATTCTTTAACTGACAGGTACGTATTATACGTGTAAAATACTTACTAGTTTGTAGGACCCAGAACAGAGCAACAGGCTTTCCAACAAGAACCAATATGCTGAGTAAAGCTAATAGTCCAGTCTTGGCTTTTTAGAGCTATAAGGCAAATATGTTCTAAAAACATGTATGTTTTTATATGTGTACATACATCAATAACAAAAAAAGGCTTGAAACTTATGTGGTCTTTTCCTACTTATGCCCAGACAGGGAAGCAGTCGTGGAAAATGGTACAATTTCTGTTATTTGAGGCCATGACCATCCCTTAATATTTTTCAAAGTACCAAGAAAAGCTGTTCTGAATGCAACTTAAATAGGCTGATGATATACCATTAGGGTTCTTCATTTTAATCATTAGTGATAATCTTCTGTTAATGTAAAATGACATTGTTTCCAAAAACAGCATTACCGAAACAAACCAACCAACCAACAAAATCAGAAACAGTCTGACTGTAGGACCACATAATAACAGACATTAAGTTGTTGAATGCTTCCAACTACTGTGAAGACAAGAATTTCTATCACTTATTACTCTTTCAAACTTTGGCTGAAACATTTTTTTCCTAATTATTACTTCATTCCAGCCCATGCTTGTTAACATCATTTTGAATCTTCTTTAGACTCTAGAATTCTGTTTCTACTGCCCTATAGTTGACAAAAAAAACCCCAACAAACAAACAAAAAACCCCACAAAAACGTTAAACCCTAATACCCTAAAAGAAGGAGCAAGCGAAGGAGAGAGAAAAAGAAAATGAAAGGTGCAGGAGCAGCCCTAAGCCTGAGGTCAAAACTGAACTCTTTTTCCGAGCTTTCCAACTCCGGCTGAGTTACCGATGCCGACAAATGGGAGGTTTTGAATTACTGACTGCTTTTAGAATGCCACTTCAATCACACCACACTGAAAATATTTGATAAATATGACTTCCAATAAAAGTTAGTAGAACATTACACGTTAAATCAGAACAAACCAGAAGGAGCTGTCACTATTGTTAATGGTTTCATCATATATCACCAACAGTTGACCAACACCAGGTGAGGAAGTAAAAAACAAAAAACAAAAAAACCCAAAAAACAAAAAGAAAAAGATAGTAGTCCAATAGCCTAATTCCATGACTTCCAAATCACGTAGATATACTACGAGTGAGTGACACATGGATGTGAACTCACTCAACAGGAGCTGCCTTGCCTACCCCAAGCATCTGATAACCTTTTTTTCATAAAACAATTTACTTTATTTTACTTTATTACCTCAACTTTTGCTCAATTGTAGTCTGACACTTTCTGGGGGGATTCTCTTTTTGTGCCAATGTGTAACAAATTCTAAACCGACAACTTTCAACCATTTACAAGTACACAGGCTCTAGAGTAAGCAAGACTACAAACAGTGGTGAAAAGGGTATCACTAACATTTTATCATTTTGGAGGACCTATAAAGTATTTCTGATAATAAAATAATAAAATATCCTCTCCCAGATTCAGCTCTTAACACCAAAGTTTAAGTCCTCTTTAATATTGAGTATGCCAAAAAAGCATAGTCAAAAGACTCAGCTCCCCAGTTTATTCATTTTAAGGGCAAAACCAATTTAAAATCTACTTAAAAGCAAAACCAAACCAAACCAAACAGACTCTTACCCCTTTCCTCCCACACCTGCCTGGCAATTTCTGAGAAAAAGTAACCTTAATTAGAGCAACAATTTTCACAATGACCTGGCTATGGTTTGATGGGCTTCTAGTAGCTCCCCAGGACTTGTCTGTATGACAGATTGCTGTAGGACCAATGAAAAAGGAATACGTGTTCTCTCAACCAGGTTCAGAATACTTTAAATTTCTGTTCTTATGGATATATGCATACACACGTACACAAACACACGTACACACACCCCGTATCTCATCTACTCCTCCTTCCATCCATGATATATCCACATATTACTGTTTAACTTTTACTTAATTATTTAATGGAAGACCCTTTGCCACAGACCGCACCCTTTAAGGCACTCTGTGAAAAGAGGTTTAAGATTCAATTAGCAAACAACTTCAAAATGTACTTTTGTAAAAAACAAAATGTAGACCACCATTATTTTGGTTGATATTACAATTAGGTAAATATAATATACATTTCTCTAACATTTACAAGACCATTTCTGGAAAAAGTCAAAAACCCTGGTGTAGTCTTGTTCTTGGGAGCATTCACATAACCACAGTTTGCAGAAACCAAAAGTTTGGAAAAAATTAGTTTGAGTTAAATAGATGAGTATTCATGAAAATGCAATTTGAAGTTCAAATATTACTTTTTCAAATTTATCTGCATTTCGGAACTATGCTACCTGAAACAATGCCACCTATTTTTTTCTGACCAATCCCAATTAATCAACACAGTTGATTAGCGAATATTATACATCAAGCCAAAAAGTCTAAAAAAATCACACAAAAACCCCCCAAATATTTTGATACAAGCAATGCATTTGAGAAAACTATAATCTACTGAAAGGAAGTCCAAGAATGGTCATAGAGACTAGATTTTTTTTTTTTTTACATACTGTCTTAACTAAAAATCAATCGTTGACCCTTATTAAATTTTTTAGCAAATTACATTTTTTACACAGATTAAATAAACCCCATTTTCATGGTGATTTCATGAACTAATTTATTTCTCTCAATAATTTGGAGAAAATTAACACGATCCAATACACAGAGGAGGGACATAAAGTGAAGCCCCTGTTAATAATTGAACTATGAACATGGAGGGCATTGTTACCTTGGCACGCAAAGCCTCTTTCTTCATAGCCAGCATTACACAAGCACTTCCCTATGGGCACTAGCCATTCTCCTTCTGTACTGCAATACATCTTGGGTGGCTCTTCCTCCTTGGAATGATTGACACAAGAACCCCGCACCTCCACCAGTGACTGGGAGTCCATGGGTACCGTATCTGGAAACATGGCGAGGTTCTTGACAGTGAAAGGGCACTTTTTGAAGTACACTCGCACCGAGACTAAGGCAACGCACGC